TTCCCTCACATATTTCTCAGCCTCCTCCACTGGCAAAACTACTGTGTGCTTCCTTTGTTCTGATTTCTTCTTAAATATGTTTTCACAGAGGCGTAACCACCATCTTCAATTGGCCCAGGTTTGGTCAGTGGCATGTCCWTCATCCTCAGAGCCAACAGCAATTGGCTCTGCTGGACATGGTGGAAGCCTCCAGAAGCTTCTGACAGGAGCCATCTTTTTTCTCCCCCCCCACTTCCAAAAACTGGGCCAAGCAAAACCAACACACCCTGCTACAGGTGAGTTTGGGGTCTGCTGCAGATATAGGGTATTGGATTTGAGCAGATCCCACACCCGAGGTAATTCTCAGCCAGGTACACACAGCCTGCATTGCCCCGGACCTCGACCCTGCAGGGAGAAGCAGAGAGAGCTCTGGCACCAAAGGGGGACACCTTGTGCCCCTGTGCCCCCAGGCCCTGCCCCTGGCCCCTCAAGACTCACGAGGAGTTGAAGCTGCTGCCGTCCACCCACTGCAGCTCCCGGCCCCGTCTGTGCAGCCCGACCCAGTAATCGACCTTGACGCTGTGAGGGAAGAGGAACTCCTGGGAAGGAGAGAGGAGCCGGCACTGGGAGCTGCACCCCCGGCCCAGGAGACCCCCCCCAGGGTCCCCTCGGCCACTCCACACCCCCCAAAGCCCCTCACTCACCATTTCCCAGTCCTTGAGCACGGCCAGGGAGGCCCCGAGCTCAGAGCACCGAGCCTGAGCCTGATCCCAGCTGAGCTGATCCCTCGAGAGGAAGTAGCAGATCCCGCGGTGCCTGACCCAGCCATGGGGACAGGCCAGCAGCAATGGAGTCTCAGGCACCACTGGGATTTCTGATGGGGTTCTCACTGTAGAGCGAAGAGCAGAAGGTCTAAGGAATCCCCTCCACAGGGAGCAGGGACCCCACTCTGCCCCAGGGGCTGGGCCGAGGCAGCTGCCCCTCCCTTACCTGACACAACAGCCAAGGACACCACCAAAGCCAGGAGCAGGAGCAGAGCCAGCATCAGAGTGAGCACGGGATGGGATCTGATCCCCTCAACTAAAGCTGGAAATGCTGGAAAGAGCCACTGGCCGTGAAGATGGGGCTGTCCTGAGGATGCCCAGCCCTCCCATCCCCCACCCAATGCCCAGGGAGCACAGGAGGGACCTCTCAGCCCCTGTGCCCCTCACTGAGCTGGCAGCACGTTACAAGGGACAGGCACAGCCAGAGGGCATGGCCAGGGCACAGTCTGCAGCAGCAGAAATACCCAGGGCTGGGGGCAGGCAGGGGTGTCTGTGCACTGCTGGGGCCCAGCAGAGCATGAGGCCCCTTCCAGACCCTTGGGGACAGCCCCAGCCCTGCCAGCCCTGTGCTCTGGGGTGACACTGTCCCTTCCCTACAAGCCACAGCGCTGGCCCTGCACTCACCTAGAAATCTTCTGAGGGTACTTTTGTGTTTATTCCTGGTAGCTGATCTGTCCAGGGGTCCCAGAGGCCCCTTCACACTCCCATTTCTGGTGCAGAACCCTTCATCCACATCTTCATTCCCTGCACCAGTGACACCTTCCTGCTTAGGACAAGAGGCTTCTTGTGTCTGAGGCAACTCTGCAACCTCGACTGCTGATCCCTTCTGGGGTTGTGGGAGCTCCTTCAAAACCCTGTGAATGGGGCAGAATTCACATTTCTCCAGCTCCCAGATGGGATGGCTCTGCTTGACACAAAGAGCACTTGGCTCCCGTGATATCAGCAGTGCAAGCAAATCCTCTTGAAGACCATGCTCTGTAGCAGTTTGACAGCCACGATCGCAGGTTGAAAGGACCATGATGAGAGATCCCGACTGGTCCGGGCTCAGGAAGGCGCTGCCGGCTCAGCCCTGCCCTGTCCCTGCTCCCCGCAGATCGGTGGCGACAGAGAATTGACGCTCCTGGGGCTGTCACCGAGCCCCAAGGAAACCCCTCCGAGGCGGAGCCTCCGCTCAGCAAACGCTGCCAGGACAGAGAGAAAGCTCTCAGCTCCTGAGCTCGGATTACAAAGGGAGCGGCTCCACCCCCGCCATTCCCGTTCTGGCCGCGGCACCGGCAAAGGGACAGCAGCGATTTTTGGGCACAAGTGGAGATGGAATGTATGGATGGGTTGGGTCAGCCACGACAAACAGCAATGAAATCATGAGGAAGGCACCGACAGCAGCAGCGCTGGCACCGTAACACAGCTGGGGTCACACACGGCCATGGCACAGCACCACAGAATCCTCGCAGTTGGACGGGAGCCACGAGGATCATCCAGTGCAACCCTTTGGGAATGGTCCCTGTGGGGTCACATCCCAACCTGGGCACTATTGGCACGGTGCTCTAACCAAGGTCACATTTCTGTGGCAGCACAGGTGTCAGGGCAATACAGAAATGGTTCAATGAACGTATAAATACAGGGTTAGGGTATAAAAATGTAGTGCTAGAGACACAGGATGAGTTCTGGGATGGCTCCAAAAGGAGAAAGAAATGCCCAGCACCAACTCCGGCAGCCACACATCAGCATTCACATCATCTCCTTCTCCTGCAGGTTCATCTGGAGACCGGGAACTGAGGTGCTCATGAGAGCAAGTAACAAGAGATGACAAGGGGCACTGAGGTGACTGAGGTGACAAGAAGCAGCCCTGAGGGGCCTCGGGATTGTCCCCTGCATCCCCTGCCCTGGCGGGTCAGAGCCCGGAGACACCGAGCGCTGTCAGCGCCCTTTGTGTCCCCGCCTGGGAACAGGAGGCGGCTCCCGGTAGGGAAGGCTGAACTTGGCTCCGTGCCCAAGGGGGAACCAGTAAGACGAGGCTCCTCTCTGCCTGTACCTGAGCGCGGCGCTGTTTCTGTTCCGTCGTGCTTTTCTTTGCGAGGGACGCTCAAGTTCATCCCGTCCCGTGCCCGGACACGGACACGGACCTCTCCCCCTGCACCAGGAGCTCTCAGCCCGGTCCCGCACGGTGGGAAAAGTCCCGGGGAAGCCACCACCGTCATACCGGGATGAGCCAGCTCTGCTCCGGCACCGGCTCCTGCCGAGGCATCAGCGGGAAGGAGACCGCGGGCAGCCGCTCCCGCAGCGGCCTCAGGGCAGGGGGAACACGGGGGGGACACGGGAGAACGAACCCGCCAGAGAGCCCCCCTGTCCCTGCCGCCCCCTTCAAACACAGCGAGCCCCGAGCCCCGGCAGAAGCCTCCGAGCTCCGCCACTCTCTCACCGTGTTACGGGGTCCGGTCACTGCCGCCGCTGCCGCTTTCCCACAGACGCTCCGTACCCGGTTCTGCCGATCCGAGAAGTGAGCAGGAGAGACCGAGCGGGATCGTTCTTAATTCCCGTGCTGAGCAATCAGCGCTCTAGAATGAGGCGTGGTGGGAGAAATCAGCCAATGGGAGCGCGGGGCGGGCTGGGCACGCGGCGCGGGAATTTCCCTTCCCAGGGTTTTGTTCGCGGTGATGAGACCGCGCGTGTCGGGCGAGTGTCAGTCCTGGCGCTGTGCCCGGGTCCGGGACCGCAATGAACCTTTTGGCTGGAATCAGCCCTGGCGCTGTGCCCGGGTCCGGGACCGCAATGAACCTTTTGGCTGGAATCAGCCCTGGCGCTGTGCCCGACCGGGCAGGAGGCCAAGGAATCTCTGCTGCCCTGAACTGGCGGGAGCTCGGTGTGCCCKGGGGCAGAAAGCGCTGGGAGCTGGGGCTGAGCCCGGGATGGAGCAGGGACCCCCCTGCAGCCCTGCGACCCCAGGCCGGAGCAGGACATTCCTGTCCCTGAGTGGGAGACAGTGACATGACCTGTGACCCCATCCCCCTGAGCCACTGGGTACAGAGGAGGGAATCGGAAAGGAGACTGGTCAGGGGAAGTTGTTTCATTTAGGATTTTTTTCACTGCTCATTCTACTGCTCCAGTCTGTTGAATAATAATTTAATTAATTTCACTGTTGTTACACGTGTAGCATAGGACAAGTCTGCTCTAAGCACTGATTATCAAAAGGAAGAAGGTGTAAATTTAGGACTAAAATCCCACCCACAGAGGGTATAAACAGGCCAGCTGCACTAGTGGGTAACAACACAATAAAATATAATTAAAGGTATTAAAATAACAGCAGTTAAAGTCAGCAGATGAGTCTGTCCTCAGGGAGGAGTCTCGTGGCAGGGGAAGGGGTTCAGTCCCTCGACTTTCGTTAGGAACATTGGGAACACACCCAGGTGCATTTTGTTAGAGGATGGACTTTGGGAGTGGGAGCAGCCTCAGGTCTCGGAGCGCTGTCCTGGAAAGAGCAGAGAAATTGCAAAGGAAACTAGAGCCTTGGGGAAATGGAAAATTCAGATTTTTGGAAGGTACAGGAACTGCTTATTCTGTATGAAACACCCTGCAAGGGAAGTTAAGAGGTGACTTTGTCACAGCTATCAGTGAAATGGGAGCCTTTTCCATCCAAATAAATTCAAACTGGGAAAATGATGGACAACCCATGGATTTGTGTACCTGCCCAGTACCATTATTAGGAGGAAACTCACTGGAAAACTGAAGGTAGTGATCAAGTCCCGTGAAAAGGGACATTTTGATTGAAATCACTGAGTCTACGATGAGTCTATTCCTGACTCTAAACATTTGTAACCTTAAATTTTCATGGGACAGGGAGTGACTTGCTGATCTGAGCCTATCCCAAAGAAAACCAAGGACAGTAACATCCTTTATGGCAGTGAAAAGTGTGGAAAGCCAAAGAGCAGAACCTGTAAGAATGAAACTAAAACCAGGCACAGGCCTAGTCAGATGAAAAAACATCTCTATAAATTGGAAAGCTGAAATGGCTTTTAGCTGTCATTAACAGGGGCTCAGATTTTTAGGGAGTGGGTTCATGGTGCAATGTGAATCTGGAGATAACACCCCAATTTTTCCAGTCACAGTGGCTAATGACAGAGATGATCAATTAGTACAGGAGTTAATAGCAATTAATAAAAGATAGGAGCTGAGCCATCCACACTCCTCACCCCACTAAAAGGGAATTTGGGAGTGTTCACTGTAACACATTTCAAGGACACATTTCCTGCACATCTCTGGGCCACTCCAACCAGGAACTCTTCCCATTTGAGTGGGAAAATCTACAGCCAGGACTTCATTAACTCGAGGATTTAAAAACAGCCCCACGATTTTTGGGACTGCACTGGCAAAGGAATGAGAGCAATGGAAGAGCTTTGATCCCCATGGGGGCTCTGCTGATGTGCTGAGAGGCACCGACACTAAAGAGCAGTGCAGGGACCTGACTGCTGAATGATTGAACTTCTTGGCATGAAATGGTCACAGGGAATCGAGGGAAAAGGTGTGAGGGGTGAAAATGGCTGGGACGTTTGTGAGTTTTTAAATTCTCTGAGGGCAAAGGAAACAGAGCAGGAGCCTTAAACTGTGAGGGAATTGCAGACTTTTATTTGCATGGGTTGGGCACAGATCAGGAATCAGTAATTAACAGGCGGGGACTTGCAAAACTGTCCACGATGATTTCATGATGTGGGCGGATGGAACTGGGGCTGCGTTCCACCAACTTCAGCAAACACCAGGGAGAGTTCTGCCTTTGGGCTTTTGGCATATCCCAGAGACGTTTTAATTTTTCCATTTTGAGAGCCAAAATCTTTCCCAAGGGATTCTGGCACAGTTCCCAGGGGCTCAGGGATGAGTCACTGCAAATTCCCCCGAACAGCTCAGTAAGGCCAGTCCAGGCTGGCCCAGCTGCCTGTGAGCAGTCACAGCCACGGAGCTGCTGCTTCACAATCCCTGAATGCACTGAGGGACAGGGCCCGAGGGCTGTGGGACATTGAGGGACAGGAGGGACTGAACAATGGGACAGGAAAGTACCCTGGAAACTCCTCTGCTGTTCATCCTGCTGGGCTCCACAGTGAGAAACACTCCAGGACAGGAGTGGCTGCAAAAAAGCACAAGAAGCTTCAATTCCAGCCCAGCTGGGCTCAAAGGCCTAGCCTGGTAGAGAATCATATTTAGAAATGTGCACAGAAAACAAGTTTATTTGCAATGGAAAAGGAATTTCATGGTATGCAGTTGATGCCTGAAACAAGGCCCACCTGAAAGAGAGGCCAGACAAAGTCAAGAGAATAAAAGCAGACAACTTTAATCCAGGCCTACAGGTACACTGAGGGCAGGCAAAGCCTCCTCATGAGGCTATTCCCAAAATGGACCTCGAGTCACGAGATCTTCACCTTTTATAAGTTCTGTCTCATGAACACGTCAGGTCCCAATTCCCCAATTCCACCTTCAGCTGATGATGTCACCCCCCCCCCAAGCTTGCTCCCCCCTAACTCGCTGTTTTTTACAGATTTTGGGGCTCTGAGGCAGCAAGGTGTGCTTGGATTCAGGCTCAGAGAAGAACTGTTTTCTCTAAAGATGGGAGAGCAGTGGTTTTAGCCCTGTACTAGAGAAAGACAAGAATACAGATACATGAAAATATAGAAACTAAAAAATCCTAAGGGATCAGTATCCCCCAAGGCTTCTCCAGCCAGGAGATGGAACATGGGAAGGGTGAGTGGGAGTAGGGTTGGGGCGGCTGGGGGTACACCAGGGGAGAATTTTTGCTGGGAAAATCACAAGTTTTTGATGCAAAAGTGACCCAAA